TTGTCATTTTGTCACTTTTGTGATACCTGTATGTGTTAATTTTGTGATTGTGTTTATTTCAGTGTCTTTCTTAATATCTTTAACTCAAATCGAAATTGAATCTAATATCCACTAATTACAATTAAAGTAATTAAAGTCTCTTAACACAGACAATGTCATTCTTCTTGAAATTTTGGTAACAACTACCTTCAATGGGAAAATGAATCTGACCACCAGTTTTAAAACAACCATCAATGTTTAGCCTGGAGAGAAAATAGAATTCTTCGCGAATCTGGAAACGTTTGCTACAAAGACCCGAGATGACAACGGCCATATTGGCAATAAAAAACTTTCAGTACGCACGTAAGTGCTTCTTCTGTAAGTCAACCATTGTCCAAACAGCTGTCAACTGGGTCACAACAGATTGCGCATCCTGCAAGGGATCTATCTTATCAAGACTAGCTACTTAAACAAACCAGTGCCTTGTGATGCTTTCAGATAATAACTAGTACACAGCAACTGCATCTGTAAGTATATTAGTTTCACAGTCAAATAATTTTAAATCATTGTCAACCCACTCAACTATTCTTATTTAAGGTTTAACCAAGGCTACCTTCTTTATATGTAGATTAAATTAACAATTTCTTTACTCTCTCCTTTGAGCTGGACAGAGCCAAAAAACCTCAGCTGGATGAAAAAGATAAGGTTCTTCTGCTGACAACCACATACACACTTCTGATAGACCCGAACCGAAATGTCATAGAAAGTGCTACCCAATATGAAGATTCTGAAATGCCAAAAGATGACCTTGAAACTTTGGACATTAACTAAGTTATTAAATTAACATGTCAATCTTTTATATGCTTATAGAGACTGTTCAAGTTTGAAATTGTATTTTTTTCTGAATAATTTTCATCATTGTAAATACTTACTTTCTAAAAAAATCCATCTTTAAATAAAAGTTAATTGAACAGTATCTGATTGTTCACTTTCATTATTTGTTCTATACTTACTAGTTTCTTTTACACTTAAGTTTTCAATCACAACTATGTGCCTTAATTATCACCTAGCTGCATTAACAGGGCCTACAGATGTTTATAACTTTTCACAATTAAAAATTCCTTTCCCAATTAAAGTCTGACATCTCCTATATATTAAACAAGTTCACTTGGACACTCCCTTAACTACAACTTGTCAAAACAGGTCACCATGTCTTATAATGAAACTTCCAACCTCATGCACCACCATACCATAGTATATCTCCAGAACAATTATTTCAAATAAACTCAAATGACATATTAATATTTTCTCAGAGAAAAGAAAAACTACCTCTGAATATGCTTTGTTTCTTAATACATACACCTTTAACACATAGGGCGAGCGACCATAAAATACACTTTGGTCCTATACGGTAGTTTAACTCAAATTTCTGATAAATATAAGAATCCTCCTTTGCATTTCAAGTTACTCACCATTCACATAAAATCCACAAAACCTTCTCAATCCCTTGAATATTTAAAAACAAAATAATAAAATTCAAAACTAGCCTCTATTTGGCCTTAACTCAAAAGTTTTTCGCTTGGTTCTGCAATCCCGACCACTATAGCTCAGTGTTCCAATCTAGTCCTTAGGCCCAGTGCTTAGGCCTCATTTCACATGCTTTAAATTTTTGTGACGTCATTACTGGGCAAGTATCACAGGCAAGTATCTGCGAATGCGAACAAGAATGCTGGCCACTGAGCTATATAATATATTCTTTTCGGGAACTAGGAACATTACATATAAGAATTGTTATATAGCTCAGTTAGCTCAGTGTTTATTTTACTTCCGCTGTGAACTTTGCGTGGTTTTGCCGTGAAATCAGCATGATTTTGCCGTGACGTTTGCATGGCTTTGCACGTGTATTAACATTTAGCTCGTTTTTGTCGTGAGATTGTTTATATTATTATTTTTAAAGGTGAAATAGGATCAGTGTGCCACAGATTTAGTGAATTTGCCCTGACCCTTGTGGGCGACCCTACAACTTACAACAAAATATTAACTACAGTAACCATAGTGGTGTCGATAGTTGAGTTCAGAAGGACGTGTTTATTGGAGCTCCATCTAGTTTATGCTATAAGACAATACCTCAGGTGAATTAATGCCTGGGTCTGTCCATGTTTTTAAAAAGCTGCGCATGCGTGGAACACCTGTGATTATTAATATGCGTGTCTATAAGTGTGAAAGTATAATATGGCGTGGTGCAAAATATCTTTGTTTATAGTTTCTTTAAACATTATAGCAACTGGAAGAAATTGACACAAAACTAGATTTCATGGAGATATTACTTTTTATCACTTGACAGAAATCACAGAACGTGCAGTGTTTTTCAAGCCCGCAGATATGTTTTATCTTTTGTTTACACACTGTCGAGAAGGTGGATTGTTGTTAAAATTTTCATATAAAAGAGTTCATTTTAAGTAAACCCACATTTTAACAAAGGAAACACATATCGAAATTGTGCAAACACTTAACTGTAAGAGAGTATTGGGCAGTGTGCAGTCATGTTTAGAAAATGATATAGTATTTCAAAGTTCCTTAGTTGTCTTTAAAGCTTGTAACAAAGCAAGTAAGAATTCCCAATGCATTGTTAAATTGGTTAGAGCATGAAAATTGAGTATAAGAATTTTAGTAACACAAATACTTTAGAAATCATTACCAGTATTGTAATGTCAAGTAACTTGTTGCACTTGAGAGGTTTAATAGAACATTGAGTGCAATCAGTGGCATAGAACCCTGATGTGCGCTACTTTAGTATTTACTCTACAAAGAGAAAGCGCTGGTGCTTAATGGGTCAATGTATAGAATTCTGCTGCAAAATATTCAATTCTCACACTAATATGCCAAAAAGAAGGCATTTTTACAGCCTCCCGAAGCATTTGTTTTTGGGAACATATCAAAAGAAGCATTATACAACTTTACAAATCATATTAGCTATGTCTAAGCACATTGCTTTAGTATATACCAAATGTTGTGGAATAACTTCACAGTTAAATGACAATTCATATCTAAACAGTTCTACTCTTGAAAACGAGTTTCACAACATAAATTTTCACTGCTTACAGTACAAAATTTTGTTTCACTTATTATATCAACATTGTACTTTCATACTACTGAACACAGTTATCACTGCTGCCCAAAGACTCCAGGTCTTCACTTGACAGCCTGTTGCCTAAAGACTCATTGACAACATAAGTTTCCACTGTTCACAGCATAAAATTTAGTTTAGACATGAAATTTAATTGCACGTTTCATATGGCAAAACAGTTTTCAATAGCTGCCCAAAGACTCTAGGTCTTGACAGCCTGCTGCCTAAAGACTAAAAGTCATGACAACATAAGTTTCCACTGTTCAACCCATAAAGTTTAGTTTAGACATGTAATTTTATTGCACCTTTTAATGAGGTTATTTAATAACCAAAGTTAATAGCGAGGAAACCACATGTGATCCGGAAGTTAGGTGTTCCTGTTGAGGTGCGCTGCGTCAGCCCACATGTTACTCGCTTTGTGGTCATTAGTTGCTCGGCATGCAAAGTGTAACAAGCTTAACAAAAAGTTTAAATGGTTATATCAAAAGAACCGAAACTTCGTCTTAATGGATTCATACATGGCTGATAGATGCATCTTTGGGAGAGTCTTCTACCCCAGCTGCCACAGGGACCAACATCAACTGGAGCTGGAGTTCCTCTCAGGACTTCAGAACGCCATGGCTAGCCTTGCATTCAAGTTACCCCATCACTCGACGCATTTGGAACAGTTGGGGGATGCGTTCCCGTCCACTTCCATCGCTATATCGCACCAAGATAACTCGTCTCTGCAAGGTACGTTATACGCTCCTTCCTTTGTTATGGCTTTAAGGGGTAGTACTATCCCCGAGCCAAGTTCTTCCTTGCCCACAACCCGACCAGCAGTGAGCGCATGTATCTCTGGCAACGAACCCCCACTCTCTCCATGCCACTAACATGTCAATGACTCCCCACCTCGTTCCTGAGAAAGCCTTCAGCTTGGGCCCCGGCCGTGCGCCAATTCCTCTGAGGCTGGTCACAAAAATTCTTCAAAACTAATTCATCGAAATGGGCAATCTTTTTCCGAACAACCTTGACGAACCCGTTTTGGACAGGACCAGCTTCACCATCGAGGGCTCATCGATAGTGCTGTTGTCGAAGTCGGCCCGTGAAAAGAAACCACCATTAGACATTCTTTTGTGGGTTGAGTGCTTCAATAGCTCCAAGGTTGGCGAGAGCATTGAAATTAAGAAGTTGAGGAACATGAAGCATCGACCAGCACTGGGTCAATTCCAAGCACATTCTCACAGCTTCAACAACCAGACCACAATTGCGATCGATAAAGACCCAAAGTACCATGTCATCCCTACAGTCTACAACATTTGGCAAAAAGAACAATCGTCCAGGCTGGCTGAAGTCGCAAAGAAATCTCTTATCGTTGCATATGACATGCGGGTCGACAGTCCTGGACATAGTGGTCTTTTGGGTTCAGGGAGCATATTGGATGCCGAAAGAAACATCTTGAGTACACAAGTAATCAAGGTACAGCATGTAACTATGATTTATGGTCTATAATATAGAAATAATTATCCATGATTACTTATGGATCATTATTTCTGTATTATATTATAACCATTAACCATTATTAAATATGGTATAATATATATATATATATATATTAATATCAATATTATCAGATCAATATTATCAGATACTATATATTAATATCAATATTATCAGATGTTAAATTTCTGTAACACATCCACACAAACTATATTTTGCTTCATTTTTGAGCATTGTGTATACAGTTTAAGGTTATTGCACTTCTCTAAACTACAATTTACACCAAATATGTTCTAAACAGTTGTATGTGATTTTCAACAGTCTACTGTGGTAAAGAACTCTAACACAATGGAGTTGGAGTCACTGAAGCGGCAGCTAAAGTGTTTAGAAGAAAACGGTACTAGTGTTTCAAAACTGGTGACAGATCGCCATGGGCAAGTGTCTACCTATATGGCAAATGAACGACCGCAAGATGAACATTGCTATGATGTGTGGCATGTAGCAAAAGGTAAATAAAAGATAAAACCACAATTATAGCATATTATCAGAGGGGGAGATCAGGCAAGGAGCAATTGCACATGATCTTTGGGTTACATTATGGCATGTGAAACAGTTTAGGGTAGTGTCAAAATAAGTTGTAGTATAATACACTCTTATATTAATAAAAAACCATAGGAGAGAAGAAAAGATTGACAAAGCTTGCCAAGAAAAAGAAATTCAAATTGATTGGGCCATGGATTGGTGTGAGTAACTTATGTTTTCTATCTGTGCATGTAATTTGGTTGTTCTGCCTTTTTGCTCAAAATACTTATAGGGGTTGTAAAAAATTCACCTTTGGGGCCCAGCCCAATGATTAAAAAGATAGTGATTCACCATGTTTTGGCAAACAAATACTTAGCAACAAGTTGGATCATTTCCTAACCAAGCTATGCCCTGCATGATTCTCCTAAAATGTACAGGATTACACAAAGTTACAACCAAAGTACAGCACATGTATGTGATTAATAATGTCCAAACACTACCAATGTGTACCAATGTGTTAAGGTAGTTAAGACCCAGCAGTCTGAGGTAACCCTATTATGTAAACTCATAATTATGTCATTTCTTTCATTATAAGTATAGTCAATTATAAACCACATCTACTGGGGTAGGAACTCCAGTGAAACTGCTGATGAGCGAGAGGAGAAATGGCGCAGTATCCTCAATCACATTGCCAACATACAAGAACATGAAGGGCATGTGATCTTTGTGGAATGTGAACATGATGTGATTGAAAGAGCCTGGCTTAACCATAATTTGCAGTTTATGTATTTTTGTTACTGATATTTACTTTAGCCAGAGAAGAAGGGTTGTACTGTAGAGAAGAAGGGTTGTACTGTAAGTGATAGAAAGCCCCAAGCATGCATTTTCAGGGTATCAATATTGATGTGTCTTGTAGGGTCTGCAGCCTACAAAAAGCTGGCAGAGGTACTGACAAGATACTGAGAGGTACTGACGTCTCATTGCAGCAATCAGGAAATTGTCCCAGTATCATCAAACATTGGGGTTGGAGGCCAAGCATGCACTGGATAATCTTCTTGCTTCAAAGAATACCTATCATTCTTATCATTGGACCAGGAACTGGTCCCTAACCGCTGCTAATCCTCTTCTTGTTGTTGTTGTTGTTAGGGGCGACGCTCTTTAAAAAACCCTAAGGCTCTAGCATTACTTGTTTGATCGGAATGAAACTTGGCACAATTATTCTAACCAATATTCCGCATCGATTGATGGAGTTCGAATTTTTACTTTTGACCTTTGAAGCAAATTACAAGCAATTCTTCATATATTTGCAGCATATATAATATATACGTATCATTAATATTCAGCCTATATATAAGTAAACACAAATGATTAGAAATACATTGTCCTCTCCATTGTTATAAATACAATGCAGTTCAGAAATTAAACTCGGTTACGCAGTTTCTGGTCCACTATAGTACGATCGTACTTGTTCACTGAGTGCACGGTAGGTGGGAAACCAATTTGAGTTCTCTAATTTGACAGGTTGTAATCCTACTCATATGAACTATGTGTTTTATTACGTTATTCTGTGCAAATCTACATTATAATGAAAACAGCAAACGTAAACAAGCAACAAACGTTCACGGCACTGCTCAAAGGGCAATTGTTTGTCCAAAAGCTTTTAAAGGCAAAAATGCTGTTGCATATTAAAATTGAGTCAAATAATACTATTTATTGTTAATACTCTTTATTGCTGGCGAGCGCAGCAAGCCAGCACACTAATCTGGAGATTGGCCGCGTACGCGTCGGAGTCTGGGCACGTGTATGTTGAGACGAAATCTCGATTTTTGTCATTCATTCTGGCGAAAACCATATATGGTATGCGTTCTATATATGGAAGTTACCTGCGTCAGCGAACCCCTGCAAGGTTATTTCCGTCATATTGCCTGCAGGGCAAAAAACTGCCCGCGCGACCCGCCACTGACTTACTGTTGTCGTACATAGATTAAACCCGACGATTATCACATCACCGGCAATACAATTTCACATTAATACAAATATCGAAAAAAACCCCGGACCCCTTGGTCCAATTTTACATCAGGAATCAATTTTTGGGGTCACATTTACCCTAGGGGAGGGTATCATAAAGTTTTGTCGCCTTTTCCAACCGCATGACAACATTCTGCGAGCACGCGCTTAACTCAAGTGAATATTATGGCGAATTGGCAACATATCGATCTAAAAAAAAGCATGTATCTACTGAGGACAATTTCCTCCTTAAAATGGTTTTATTTTTATTAAAATCGGTCAAGTATTCACACAGAAATCGCAAGTGTACACTGCCATCTGATCCAATGATGAGTTTTAAGATTCAATACGAATGGCGGTCATAGAAAGTTTTCGCTTTTGCCACTTCGTAGGCAAACCGCAAGTGAACACTGAATTTAACGATTTCTAACGAAGCACTCGTTTTATTGAGCGTTTTAACTTGCTTGAAGTCACAACAAAGGACGATTTGTGTTGATTTGTATTTCCGCATGATGACAAACGCACGACAGCTGCCCCGAAAAGCCGCCACCCACATCTTACAATAGCCTTCAATTTTCACACTTGCAAGCAAAGCATCGCAGGCTCTGGGCACACTGGAGACGAGATTGAGTATTACTATTATTAATTTAAATAAAATCCCGTCTCGCCACTATAACACAGTGCTTCGTTAGAAATGGTGGCAAAATGGAAAACATTCTGTGACCGCCATATGTATTGAATCTTAATGTAAATGCCTGAATTGGCGGGTCGCGCAGCTCAAACCCAGTTTTTTTTGCCCTGCAGCCGCAGGCAACATGGCGGAAATAACCTTCATGAGTCTATTCACAACTGCTCTCACTCTCAGCACGCGTGAAGCTGCTGGCAGGGGCAAATTAATGCTGTATCAAATACACGCGCAAACACATGTTGTTGCAACATTGTTACTGTAACAGTAGTGACACCTAACACTTAATGCACTTATTGTTCACCACAATGTTCACAGTGTTATTCATTTGAACAAAACCCCAGAGAGCCTCTGTGGAGTAGACAAATTTAGTTTAAACAGCCGTTGTTTTTCTTCAACATGTGATAAATGGACTTGCGATGCCAGCACTTCCCTTGCGATAGTAACTTCTAGTCTTATCTATAATTCCACGCTAAATATGAAATATATTGTTATAATAAATGAACTAGCAAATAACAAATGTAGAAAATGTAAATGCCTGCAACTCTAATATGTAAATAAGATGTTATAAAATCAAGGCTTTCCTCCAGTTCTGTTTTCAAAATCAAAATTACTGTGACTGAAGATTACTCCATCAATTTTGAAAACAGATGTGAAACAAAACTTTGTTTTTACTCACCCCCACATAATTTTTGCAGAATACATATATGTTATAATGAGTCAAGTTGTACTAAATAGAGTCAAATACAGAAAGCCACAATCTCTGGTGCAAAAGTACTTGGGCAGAAAGGAAGGACAATCTAAGCAGCAAGTGGTGGACAGCAGGAAGTCACAATTTTCTAAGCCAGCTTTACCTGTAAGTAAAGAGCATGGTCCAAATCACACACCTTGTGTATGTAAAGGAAACTGTGCCACTAAGAAATGTAGTTGCAGGGCTGATGAGCTGATGTGTGATACTAATTGTAAATGCAAAGTAGACAAGTGTACATAATATTACTGTCCATTTTAGCATAGTTAGTGGACTGAGATGGTTCGGCTAGTTGGCTTACTTCAAACAAGAGCGCCAAATATGTCGAGAACTGATTATATTTTGGTCACGTGACAAGGAAAGGGGATGGCTTTGCCATTTTTAAAAGAAAAAAATATGGGTGAAAGGATTATGTGCAGACAAAATATCATATTTCAAAAACGCTAGAGGGCTCTGAGTTCAACATGGAGGCTCACACGGAAGGCGAACAAACCGGTGAATCTTTTTTAAACGTTACAGACAAAAGTATTTGGCGAGATGATTTTTATGAAGAGATAATGACCGCGGCATCTGATGACGAAGGCAAAGATATTTTATTTACAGCTACAGCCAAAGACACGTATAACTTTCATGTGTCGGTAGCTGTAACTGATTTACAATGACGAAATTGATGCGGAATTTAGCGATGCGATATAAGAAATCGATGGTGTAAAGAATTTCCTGTGTAGTCAATGCGACAAAGTGTGCAAATCCAAAGGAGGCTTGACAAGATACACAAGATCAAAACACCTTGGAGACAAACAAGTCCTTGGGGAAACTCGTACTGCGCTTTCTAAAGAGACAGTTCATTCAATTGTTGAGACAATAAAGGCGAAGTTAAAAGAGGAAAATTTATATGGATCGAAAGTAAGGGATAATTTGGCAACCGTTTCATCTATCGATTTTGTCGATCGAAGAGTCAAGATAAACTTTTAGAAAGTTTTTATGGTTTGATTCCTCAATAGTGTGAGCTACTGAAGTGTAAGGACTACAGAGCTGCGAATCTAGTAATGATTCATATTCCCGAACATTTAATCGGATTTTATAATACCCCCACAGTGAATGAGGAAGCCTGCTGCAGTGATGCCAGACTAACACAACTTGACCCAGCTGAACGTGGACCTCTTTCTTATGTTGCGGGCTACGTAATGAGCAAACTGTTTCAGTTAAACAGAAGAAAAAAAGAAGAAAACCAGGAACTACAGTCATTGCTACAAAGTATGAAGTCGTCTGAAACTATAAACAATTATATCTCTGCTCGAACAAGGGGAGGACTTGTTACCCCATGCAATGATTTGGTCGCTATTTCAGAAGTTGCCGAAATTTCTTTCAGAGAGAATGTGGATAAAAGCAAGATTACACTGAGAAGTATTCCAGTGGATATAATATCTGAGTATACTTTAGCTTCTCCAACTGTTAAGTCATTGTGATAACATTGTGTTTTCGTGTGAAGGGCAAGCTTCAAAATCTACCCAGAAACTGTGCTTGGAAAACATAGTCAAACTTTATTTACGAGTCAGAGCATTTTCTTATGCCAGAGACTTCATTACTAAGTACCGTATAAAAGAAAAACAGTCAAAGAAAAAGGCTTTAAGAACAGAAATGAAAAAAGCAAAAGGAAAATAATGTTGATTTAGTGTTAAGCTTAAAGAAACATCCAGTTGTAACATATTACACCATGATATATCACCTCAGTTTATCATATATATTTCATGTGTTTGGCAAAAATTGTTTTATTTTACCATAAAAAACACTCATTTGGTATCAAATTGACCTCCCAGTATTGGTATGAAATTCAAATAATAATAAAAATATTTACACTATTTACATCAATCGAGTACCAACTCAGCAACAAGAAGAACTACTAAATACATAAACAACATTCAATTTGTATCAAATTCACCACCTGCCTTGTATGTATTGGTATGAAATTCAAAGAGTTAAGAGATCATATTTACATGAATCTAGTACCACTTTTCTGATCAACAATAGCAAACCATGTAGACCTACAATATTTACATGAATCTAGTACCACTTTTCTGATCAACAATAGCAAACCATGTAGACCATTCTCATACAGAAAGCCTGCATTTTAACCCTTAGCTGGCAATATGTGCCCCACCTTAGTAATTACTCTGTTTAAAATCAGTTGATTTAAACAATTCATGTTAAAGGTAATAAAAGTAAGTGGGGTAGGAAGTGCAAATGGGTAA